GTGTGTGATGAGATCAGTAGGAAACTTAAAATACATGAGAGAACCGGATAACATTAACATATGTGTATACTTTGTGCATATAAATATATATACATGTTTTTCAAAAAAAAAGTTATTATCTAAACGCCATGTATATTATGTATATGTGTTTTGGTTAAAAAACTCAATTTTTTTTTTTTGAAAACGACAAATATTATATATAAAAAGGTCATACGCTTAGCAAGTAGCTAAGAAACATGGACACAAGTACATAGAGAATGATAGTGATGAAATTAACAGAAAATAAAAGTTGAGATGCTCCAATCACTCCATCCATCACAAGATTTAGAACTCTTGTGTTTAAGCCACAAAAATGATAGAGAGATAATGTCATCTGCGATTTTCTTCGGAGTGGTGTTCACCTTTTTAAACACCTTGTTATTCCCTGCATTCCAGATGTACCACAACGTACAATAGAAGATTAGAGTGACTATCGACATTTTCTTATGGCAGTTACCCTAAGAGACATCAAAGGGAAATAAAATGTCACGTGAACATTTATTATACTCATATGTCAGTCATTGTATCTTATATATATCATCACATGTAACGCATATGTCATGATATATAAAATAGAACTAGGGTTTGGACTGTTCGTACGATGTTGTGGAAGCCTCGATATGTTGAAAAACGCAGTTCGACATCATATATACCATGGAGACGATTAAACAATGTAAAGTGGAGCACAAAAATATCAAAATAAAATTTGGATACAAACAGTTATGTACAGAAGAAGCTGACGAAAATAAGACTTGAAAATGTATCCTAAGAAAATTATTAAAAAAAAAATTATTAAAAAATTATGTAAGTAGTCAAAATGTAACTTTAAAATGTAGTAAGAGACCAAATCATAATGTATAAAATACTAATAATTTAACTTTAAAATAATGAGGGATGAAAACTGTTAAATAAAAATTAATTGAAGGGAAAAAATATAAATATGAAAATCTTCAATTACTAGAACCTAAATGGTTGTTGTTTTACATTTTATACTGCATGTTTGACAATATATAATATGATTTGATTTTAGTAAATTTGGATTTGGAAATAGAAAGACAAAATGGACGGTAAACCTCCTCAAAAACCATATTTGGTATTTTATATATATATATATATATATATATATATATATATATATATATATATAGAGAGAGAGAGAGAGAGAGAGAGAGAGAGGGAGAGTGTTAGGTTCAAATGTTTCTACTATCTATTGTGTGCATATATGATTGATACTGGACCAATCATTTTAGTTATTTTAGAGGAAAACATCATACCGTTTTATTTCATACTTGGTGCATGGAGAGATGCACAAGTAACTATGTGTAAACAACACCTTAGAATAAATATAGCACTTGATTTAACCAAAATTGAATTATATGTTAATTAGGCAAATTGAGTATTACATAGATACAATTGCACAACCAACTATTTCAATTCCATTTATAATTTTCTTTTGAAGAATAAAACTTGAATGATAGTATTAGTTTTTCACAAATAACACATACTCACAACCATAGGATAAAATTGAAGTCTTCTATCGAGTCAAATAGAGAAGAAAAAATCTAAGTGCGGAATTTGGAATAGGTGTTTGACTTTCGGTTGATTTGGTCCTACCCTTATATTTATAATCAATCTTGTCAGCTATTTTTAATCCAGACAAAAGAAATGCGTTAAAATATATTATGAATAAAAAAATCAGTTATTTTTTGTATCAAGTAGTAACAATTTTATTTTTATATTTATCTTATCATGTCTTTTTTTTCTCTATTACTCCATCTTATATCTATCATTTATATATATAAATAATTAAATGATAGTATTTTTTTTACATTAGACTAGTTCAATACATATCGATTGAAGGCAAACGAGCAACAAGCTGCGCCGCTAGCCCTTTCTGGATGGCAAACCCAACTCTTTTAAAAACAGCATTTGTGGATCTAGGAGATATGACATTAGAATGCATGACCCGTTGGACTCTATTGAGGAGCTCCACCGCCTCT